GCAACCAAAATAGGTACGGATGCAACCAAAACGGAAGAGCTAATACGGTTGCACAGTAGAATCCCTACCACAAAATATGTAGAATATGTGAGTACGGTGGTAAATAGAGTGGGTCTAGTAAGCGTACTATTGCCTACGCACCAATTTTGAACGTTTTGCAATATCGGTTGCAAAAATGGGGTACTCGTACCGTACTCCAGAAGACTTTACTAAAACCAGCTCTAGTAAATGTCATATCATATCATATTATCATATGCTTGGTAGATATATTATATTACATAGTTATAAAGGGTTATCTGTTGAAGTTCGTACGAGTACCATATCGTACGTTACGTACGTACTCGTACGAGTAAGTACTTAGAATCATGCCCGCAACTATCCCGGGATAAAGTAAGTTGGAGTATTTGAAGGAAGATATTGAAAGCACAATAGGGAAAGCCAACCAGACGACACGAAGGAGGAAGAAATAGTCGTGACGACCAAAACAGAATATGAAACATGAAAGGGCAATATGAAAACTCTCATTGGTAGTGATAGGAATATTCGTTTGGGACAAAGATGGCAGGGGGGGGATGGCCCCTCTACATGCATGTCGTCGAAAATTCCCATCCATTTCTTGTTTGCCCTATTTGCAATGACGCTTAGTAAAGCATCGGGCATTACTGTGAACGGCGTTCTTTTCTCGGCCCCCTCTGGGGCCATCTCTAACATCGGTGTCGCAACACAAAAATCACTGCCATCAACGACATGTTCTCGATCTGTTGTTGTATTTATTCACGGCAGGCTAGAGGCGGATCCAGCAAGCGATGACCTAACGATCCCTCGACCAGCCGAATTGTATTCGGATTTCTGCAAAGGTTTAGCAGCATCGATGATGAGTGACGTTTTCCTTGTAGATTACCACGAACATTACAGAGACTGGAGACGAGAGCCACGTGATCTTGAACTTGGGCCAGTTTCATCGGCAGTAGGTGAAACAATTCGAAAGCACATCAAGAGCTACAGCGATCCGATGAATGCTACTGCTACTTCAATCTCTGTAAAGATAACACTAGTTTCCTTTTCGATGGGGGCAGCAATAGTGCTCAAGCTTCTTAAGAACAGTCCTATGTTCGAATCAGCTTCAGTTTCCGTTCCTTCTTCTATTTTGAAGAACGGAATAAAAATCGAAAGAGCGATTCTGGTTGAACCCGTTTGGCGATGCTGGTTGCCATTTGCAGTCTCGAGAGCCGCAGAAGCCCGGTACTCTGCAAATGCCAAAAAAGTTGAAATCAGCAAGGTGCCTTCTCTGGTGCTGGTAGGAGCCAACGATTTGGAGGTTCGACATGACATTAATGGAGGAATGGGTAGCAATGGTACTCGCAACCTCGGTCAAAGTGTGGCTCGATGTCTGCAACCATTCCTGCCAAATCTATCCACAATTGATATTGCTGGAGGTAATCACTTTGGTCTGTGTTCTGGACCCCCTAAGTTTATGGTTTTTGCCAGCGAAGGGTTATCATCTGGCAAAAGTTCGGAACGCCTTCGAAAAGAAATGATTGATCATATATCAGAATTTTCTGCACAATCGCAAGAAAGTGACGATGACAGTGACAGTGATAGTACGGCAATATAGAACACCATAAAATTAGTTTTTCTTTCTGTGGTTCTGTGGTATTTGATTTCTGCTGCTTGGTTGATTGCTGCTGAGATTACTGTCGCTTCTTCTAGGGATTAACTTGGTCACTGTTTGTTTCAATATTGCAATACCTAAATTGAGCATTTAAAATCGTTCTATTAATTCATTTTATCAATCAGGATCTAGATTCACCCTATTGGAATAGAGCAATGTTCAGAGCTTAAACAGTAGTACTAGTAGTAGTGATATTTGTTGCTTGATTTTGAAGCAATACAAACTACAGTACCTTTTTTCTGAAAGCAATTTGCCAGTTTCCACAGTCAGAGTTGGAATAAGCTCAATATTTTGGCAAGAATTTGAACGCTTATTTTATGTTGCATTCACCACATAAACCGGTAGTATACATCACTTGTGTCAACTTTTTCAATTTTTTTAAAAAGATTGCTAATACCATGATTTTGGTATGTTTCCCATAGTTTTACCAACTGTGTCACCAGTAGACAAGAAGATGAAAAGAGTTATTGTACTACTACAAGTGATACATGTTTTTGCTCTTGTACCAATTGTAGTGGATGTGTTACACAGCCATGCCACCAAGTAAGAACCCATCATCATCCAGCTCTGACCTTTCTAATGAAGAACAATGTGTAGAGCATGTAATAAATCAGCAGTTTGAAATTCTTCCAGCAGACACAGTAGTATCTCTCAGCCCAGTTCTTATTTTTGTTGTAATACTGCTGTTCTTTCCAACATTTGTGTTGACCAACAACAACCCAAGTCTCATTCTTTCCTTCTTCCTTTGAAGAACAATGCTGCCTGGAATATATGCTTCTTGTTAATACTCAGTTCTTTGAAGTTCCAGCAGTAAATCTAACCACAAGTTCTTTTTGTAGTACTACTACTACTAGTAGTAAGAATGCTGTTGTTTCTGGCATTCATGTCCAACCACACCAAATAAAGCCTCAATCCCAAGCCATTCAACCAAGAAGTACCTCTCCTCTGGCAACAGCAGCTTTGCTTGCTGAAGCTTCTGAAACTCACATATCTCCATTTTTAAATGATACTGCAATGTTCTCCCATTGCTAGTAGTTCTCATATTAGTAGGAAGACTTCAAATTCAAGAAAATAGCTACTGTAGCTTTCTCAACCTCAATCTTCATTAAACCTGTCAAAACATGGATTGAAGTATTTGAAAGCAAACAAGTAAGTGCTCATATGAATCAAAAATTTATCTGCTTACTACTAGTAGTATTATCTGGTGACATCCATTTCAAAGTGAGTACAAGTACTGGAGAACCCTCAATCATCCATTTATTAATATTTGTGCAATTGCCAGCAACATTCAACTGGTGTAGTAGAAGAAATAGTGTGTAGCACTGTTAGGCAATATTCAGGGGATATTCAAGAATCTGCTATCAAGGTTGGGGGAATATGGCATCTTCATACAATCAATAAATCCGACCCAAAGTTATTAAGTCAATTACTAACTTGGTGAATTAACTTCTCAAAGCCTGTATTTGAATATGAATCAAGCAAGAGTAATTGAGTTCACTAACCAATTGGTAGATTGAATTGTTAATTAATCTTTTGCTCGCCTTCCTCCAAATTGAGGCCAACTATAACAAACAGCCCACCATAAGCAATTGATTCTGGGCAAGCAACAAGTCAAATTCCTCACACATTCAAATTAGTGATGGGGACTGTGACCAAAGTTAAAGTGGGGGCTCTCCAGAGTCATTTGACTGAGAAATCCTACTAGTATGATGAATAGTATCACTCCTCTTATATGAAGCCAAAAAAGGCTGGTGGCATACTAGTTAGGTAAGCTCCGTTGGTGGTGTTGGAAAATCCCAACCTGGCACAGTTAGGCCAGATTTTTCATCATTTTGTGTGATACATACTAGTAGGACTAGTACTAGTAGAGCAAACACACCATATTTGTAGATGAAAAATCATGTTGAAGTAAAAAAGAGTATATACAGAGGAGCAGCAAGTACACTACCATAAATACTACCACACACCTTAATTCTTCCCACAACAAACACATCCTGTCTTCATGAAATGCAAATCAGACATGACAAATTGGATTTTCAAACCTTGATCACTGTGTGGTGATACTAGTACACAGGAAAAGCAAAAACCAAACAATTTTAAACAGCTCATATGAAACAGAATAGAGCAACAATTAAAGAACAAGACAGAAAATACTGAGCTCCTACACCATGGAAAATTCTAAAAATATCAAGCAGAGACTAATCATATTAAGGTTCTCCCCCTCTTATCTCTCTGACATTCCTCTTATTGCAATAGTCCACAAAAAATTGGAAATTAATGAAGGGTCTACTAGTAAATCATTTATTTGTGTCCAAATAAGATTGTTATCACTAGTGCCCAAAAAAGACTCTCTGGACCCAAAATATTGGTTCAAAGATGTCACTGGGCATCACAAGAATCAAGCTTTTGCAATATCACACACTCCATTCTCTCCAATGCTGTGTGGATCAGTCTCACACATGTCAGTTCAACAACAATGACTGTTCAAGGTGATCCCCCCTAATAGTAGCTATCAAGGTCTAACTCAAGGTTACCTTGAATATATCTTGAAAGGTTCATTCTAAACAACACAAATCAATGTTCTCATTGAATACCAAATCAGTTGTTGTTTCTCTGATTCTGTTCCACAGATAATTGGAGAAGGTAATACAAATCTAGTACTACTAGTAGCCACTACTAGTAGTAGTAGAAACCAGCCAGCCACTTCAAATGACACCAACTAGTAGTAGTAGGTTCTTTCTGATTGTCATCTGGCTCTTCTTCTGGCTGGTGCACAAAAATTGTAGAACTTGCCACCATTTACAAGAAAGGAAAAACATAGTAAAATAAAAATCAAATTAGTGACTTTCTCAGTTAAAATTGATGCTGACACAATTCTTTATGCTTTCCATTTGATTTCCCCCCACAAATTATTGGAGAGGATAACCCCTTCTTATCCTCCATTCAACAATAGTATTGCCTTGAAGAAATTAGTGGTAACAAAAAAATGATTACCATCATCTGCTTTTGGCCCACAAAAAGGAAGATATGATAATTCTTCTGTTGATTCTATTTAATTTACTACTAGTAGTTGCACGAAACAATTGCTGACTGTGTTCTCCAATGCTACTAGTACTAGTAGTACTACTAGAACAAGTTCTACGCACATTGCAACGGATACATGCATACGTACTACTGCATCGGAAGTAGCTATACATACGTACTGAAACAAAGGGTACTACTACAGTAAAAATAGTAAGAGAATAGAGATACACACTAGGAGGCAAAGAAATTCTGGTTGCCTTAGGAGGCAGCAGTGCACAATTTATCATATAGGCTTGGCCAGCAAATCTTCAATCCAGTTGTAGATTTTAGGCCCTTATTTTTCCCTGTAATGACTAGTTCACTGCCAGGTGTGTGCTGAATTCTTGAATTTCAAATAGTTTTGCAATTCCTACTTTAACACTTGCTACTACAGTTTGAATTTTTTTCATCACACCAGTCATTGTACGGTAAAATGATGGGCCAAAATCACAACTGTACAACTGTTTTAGTCTTGAACTGACAGTTTGAGCTGTATCTTGGTCCCCAATGGCCCCTTATTAATGATAGGCATATGAATTGAATCCCAGTAAAAAGAGGATTCTACTCATATAAGGAAGTTGGGTGGTTCTAGTAACGGAACATGTTGATATTGGTGTAAATGCGTGGCCGAGCCTATATAGTAATAGCATATCATGACAGGTATACTACTACTACTACTACTACTACTACCACTACTACTAATTTAATGCAATTCCTCACTAGCAAACATCAGCCAATATGATGCTCAAGACAGCATAGTACAGGATTAACTAATTTATCTTATACTCTTGCTAGTACCATTTATGTTGCTGCACCTACTACTACTACTACTACTAGTACAAGTATCACAGGTACTAGTAGGTGCATGTCACAGCATTGCTTGTCATTAGTACTAGTACTAGTACTACTAGTAGTACTAGCAATGAATGTACTACACTCTGGTGGTGGTGCTTTATTTCCAAGAAGTACTATTAGCAGTACACATCATAGAGTACATTACTACTAGTAGTAGTAGTTAAAGAAAAACCAAACTTTTGTTTTGATGGTGGTGGATTTGTGGTGTGATCATGCTGAGATAACTTCTTGAAGAACAATGTAGTAGGAGTACATGATGTAGTACAGTAAGGTAGTGGAACACTACTACACTGAAAGTAGTGATGGTAGTAAGAGCTGAAGAAACATTTATCTGTATTTCTGCCCCCTGCCTAGTAGTCTAATACTAATACTGGTGAGGTTTTCTTCCTTTTGACCATTTGAGATGACATGGTCTTCCATCACCTATGTTTACCAAGAAGAAGATGGAATATACTTGTGGTGTTTCCACATGCTGGTGATGAGAATTGGATTATTTTTACGTGGATCACAAGTAGGAATGAATGTACTTCATGTTGCACCACTTCATCATGGACATGATACATGGGAACTGCTTTTTCTTTGTGAGAATCATATTTCTTCTTGCATAAGATTTAGATTCAAAGTAGTAGTAGTTTCTATTTGTTCTTGGTGTAGTGTGGTGGACAAATCTCTGAACAAAGGTGTTTTAAACAAGAAGTAATACAATGAGATGGTTGGATGATTATTAGCAAAGTTGTATCCCTGCTGAATATCAAATTGAGAAAAAACTGGAACACAAGTTTATATCATATCCTAGAATTGGATGCGCAAGTATCAGATGAGGACAATGATCATGGTGGTGTGATACTATGGTAGTAGGAATACCTAGTAGTAGCGGTATAGTAGTAGTAGCAGTATTCACAATCATTCTTCACAAACAGTCATATTTGCTCACTATTGTGGTGTACTGCCTTATTGTTATAAATAGTAGCAGCACTTACTACCACTTTGTTCCGTGGATTTGACTATAACAGAGACCAAATCAAGAAAAAATTCAGCCCAATTTCATTGTGCATGCGGTTTTCTACCCCACAACCCATGGTTTATCAGAATCTTGGTATTTGATTGGTCGGAATTTGAATGGCAGGGGAATTACTGCCCGGGTTGCTTCGTTGATGGGATCATCGTTGGCAGTTTTGCAGTTGTATGCTTGCCGGTGCCTGGATCCCTCCAATGTCGGTCCCATGGAACGAACTCCCAGCGTGGAAGGAGCCAAAAAAATGCCCAGCTCCCAGTGCTGAACGGTCAGTACTTTCCTCCCGAGGTCCTTTTGACGGTTTTGAATCTGTCCCCAGGCCGCCACGGACATGTTGTGCGAGGACAGGACAAACCAGAGCATACTATCTCGCCCGTACCTGTCACCAAGCTCCTGAATTTGGTAGTACGATTTGATGTGCGGGACGTGGCATCCCTTGTCGAGTGGATCCTCCTCTTTCCAACGTCGTCGGTTGGAATCGGTGCTATCGAGGTTTCCCCCGTACATACCGGTGGTGCTACCATCATTAGTACTGGAAAGAAACCTCCACTTGTGCAAAAGGGAGCGGACAAACGTCTTGTGGAGATTCTTTGCCGTCCCTGGAACCGAATTACCCCCCATCGGTCCCTCCACGCTCTCTTTGACTTCTAAAGTTGTGGGCCAGACAAATCGCAGCCAGGAAGCCGCCAATTCCCCCTTTTTTGGAGGCCGCGACGTCGCCACGGTCTTCGAACCACAGTTGGCTGCACCTGCGTTCCAGGCTGCGGCTACCTTGTCGAGATACGGCTCCCATAGAGCCCCCATGGAAGAAAACTGGCACACAATTGGACCAGCACTGCTACTGTCGCAGTTACAGTGTTCCCGTATCGCTTTGTGGACCTTGAGATAGCCATAGATTTCCTTGTTTCCTCGACGTGAAGGTCGTGCATCTAGAGACGCATTGTGATAACCTGGAACAGATGGAACCAGCACCCCCACGCAGCTAGAAAAATCATAGGTTTGTATGTGTGAGACAAGAGTGGTTGCCTCGCTTCCCTCACCGCGTCCGATTTCAGCTTTCTTCCACACCCATGGGAGAACAAAGTGGTAAGATTCCAGATACGTCACGAGGCTTTCCTCAAAGTCAGAGGTGACAAAATTGCACAGCTGGTCCTCGGTTTTCGGCAGAAAGTCTTGGAGGAATGCCCCTTGGCACTTGTCGTGAACATCTCCCTGCCGTAAATTCGAGGTGTGGATGTGAACCCGCAGGCGCCCCGAGGAATAGCCAACCAGCGTCATTTTGGTATGGTGACAGCCATAGGGCATTCGCACCTTCAGGGGATTGGATTCGGTTCGGGGTGGGTCCCGTGGATTCCGCTCAACCAGAGCTAGGTTGTGTTCTTTCTTTGAGGAAACCTCCCTGATCCATGCCTCTTCTCTCGAACTGAAATCCTTGTATTGGTAGACAATGACAACGAGCGGGATATCGAGCAACTCCGGGAGTTCGTGAAGCAGATAGTCCACATCAAGTATGTAGGTCGTGATAAAGATCCAATCGATACCCACAGGATTCCCATGGCTAATTTTGTTGGTCTTAGCACCGGGAAATGTGTCACTGCCAATGAGATCTGCCTGGGTTTGATACCGAATTCCCGAAAAGCGGTCGAATCCCAACATTTCGCGAAAGGTCCAGCAGTGAAATACCGACCAATGGGTACGATATGCATCTTCAGTGTTAGTATAGTGGTAGCCATCTTTGTCACTGTCGACCTCGCCTTTCTTCAAGCGACGCCTAAGGTTTCGCCGCGTGGTCTTGTCTCGATCGGTCGCAAATATTTTGATGGGGTGGCGCGGGTTCAGCATGCAGCCATCGTCATGTGGAAGAATCGCCCTCTCTTGGGGAGAAACGGCGCGGTTTCCTCGGACGGATCGTTTGCGTGGAACCGACTCCAAAGAGCTGCACTCTCTCCCGGGAGACGCCGGTCTTTTCCTTTCGTTCGTGTTGGTTCTCACCGCCCCAATCGAAGCTACCGTGCCATCATCGTCGTCGTCGTTGTCTTCGTCGAGTAAAGCAATTGGATCGTCCGAAGTCCCGGTCGAAGAGGCGTCCTTCGCATTCGCCATACTCATCGTTACAAAATATTAGGACTCATACATTAAACATTACACGAAGGAGCAACGCAATCCCGCTGTCGGTTCTCAGTTTCGTTGCATTCCCTTTGTTGCTGTACTTTTATTTTGCAAACTGATGCCATAACTTCGTTTCTGAAAGAAAAAAAAACTACAAAAAGTTTTTTTGGGAGATCGAAACAAACTCTGTTGCCAATCTGTACATACTGCACATACTTCTAGTACTTATCATCAATATGTTATCATGTATGTTATCATGTACAGTACAAATTACAAATCCCCTGACAAAAACGAACATGTAACGGTACGAGTACTACTACAAGTTACAAAAACGAGTACCAGGTACATACGTACTCGTGCAGACCGATCAGAATCTTCAGCGGAAAATAAACCTACTAGTAGGTACGTACGTACTGTGCCGTACGAAACCGTCTACTTACGTAGGAAGTTCATCTTCGTGCTTCATGCATTTTAGATTGAAGAGGATGTTTGTGTTTGTCTTCGAGAATGGAGTCAAAAGAGTCAGGAACCGAAATGCTCTTTGATCGATCTTGCTTTCTTCTTCTTTCAATCAGGCGTTGTGTTGTCTTCATACGGTACGGTACCAGAAGTGTTTCCAGACCACTTTTGCACTTCTACATACCGGATCAAAACTCATGTAAACTTGTTTTAGTGATTGCGGCCCAACGATTGATTTCAATTCGATGGGAAGAACCTCGCGAAAGATCCGAAACCAACGATAATTTGGTCTAATCGAGCGACGAGGTTTTTGTTTCGGATTTAAGATCAAAAACCAAAAAATGCTCAGGCGGAGAATTATTCACAAGGCAATCTTCCGTGGCTTTCATTCCATTTTTTGGTCACGCTTTCCCATTGGTCCTTTCTTTGAACTGTTGCGAGAAACCACTAATCTATAAGAGAACGCAGCAAAGTAGAGCGCAGCAATAACCGTTACAAAAATCACACCCGAGCACCAAGCCAGTTAAATCCATACTCCCAATCCACCGCCTCGTTTCCGAAGCATTCAKATCCTGCCATGGTGTCCTCTTGGCTCCGGAATCCCCGGCTTTTCAAACATGCCTATGCCTGCACCGTGGGAACGGTTGCCGGATTTACGGTCGGCCTCGTCGGCTGGGGTGGTGCCCAGGTCCTGATCCCTGCCATGACCGCGCCTTTTCCATCCTTCGCCGGGCACTCGCAGCTCTCCGCCACGGGGATATCCCTATCGAGCCTGTCGGTGTCGACCCTCACCTCCGGGTACTGGTTCTGGGCCGAGGACAGGGTCGTTGTTCCCGTCGCTCTGGCGATCAGCCTCCCGGCGGTGGCGGCGGCCCGGGCCGGCAGTCATCTCGCAAGGCGCATGTCGGGGGAGGCCCTCGCGCTTTTCTACAACGGTTGCAGCGTTGTGTTGATCCCCACACACTTTTGGATCCAGAAGCGCGCCGAGGCCAGGGGGAATCGCCAATCCCGAGAGTCTACGGAAGGCGGTGGAGTGGACACAACCGGCAGAACAACCGACGCGACGCCGATGCGCTGGAGAGCAGAGGCCAGCGGAGATTCCGCAACAACACCACCACCACCAACGCCGGCGTTGTCCCCGTCTCTTTCCGAGTTTTCATTCGAATCCATGCCCTCCTCGGTCTTGGCAAAGCATGTCTCGTTTGGGATCGTCTCGGGCATCCTGAGTTCTCTCATGGGGGTTGGTGGACTTCCGTTTGCAATGTCCTACCTCACGGAAGCCACCCGCGGAGACGACGAAGACGATTTGCCCCACCATTTGATCCAGGGAACCGCCATTTGCTCGCTGCTGCCGGCGATCATTGTTTCCGCCGTTTCGAGGGTGGGGGCAACTCCTTTGGGGGAAGCGGGCTGCGTTGCCCTCGGTGCGTTGGTGGGGAGCTACTGGGGAGCCGAGGTCGCCCTCGGGATGCCTCCGGAAAAACTGCGGACGCTCTACGTGGGGAGCCTCTTTCTTTTTGGTGGGAGGTCGATGGTGGGGGCCCTTCGGAACTTGCAACAAATCTACCGCAAGAGCGTTCGTTAAAAATTTAGCAGCAATACGAGGCCAGCCATTCCCACAATAAGCCGATACAAACTGCAACAAGAAATAACCAACACATGGACCTAAAGTTACGGGGACAGGTCAATGCGATTCGAATCGATTCGATTTCTAGAGTATTTTGTATCACCGAATTACACAATTATTATAATGGTTCAGACTGGTGATGTACAAATGTGAATTAGAAGATTGATGGCTATCATCATGGTTGTTTGTCGCTATAATAAACAAAAATTGGTACTAATGATTTGCAATAATGTGTCTGTAACTACAGCTTCTTAAGCTATTTTCAGTGTACGCTCGTTCGTTAATCGAGAAAGTTGTGTTTTCTGTCAGTCTTCTATGAAGGAAATCACTTATCCTGTCGAATTCCCGTGCAGGATGGGTTCGGATTGATCTCCAACACCAGCGATTTAAAATGTGACATTGAATTTTAGGTATGGTACCGTAGTTTACCGTACAACAATTCTCAGAAAAATCCGATACTACCTTGTGCAAAATGTCAATCAAGACTAAAACACTGAGATACAGTTTCCATGTCTTAAGTGATTTTGTTTTAGCTTCTTTGAAATATATTAATAGGCGATGATCTTTCTGTTTTTATCAAGAATTTTGGCGGGAGTCACACTTGTGAAGGCCACATTCAAAGTTTCAAATCGAATGAAATTACCTATCATGAATAATACAAGAACGGGCAATTATCTTCATTGGACTCCACCGCACGATTACGATCGAAAATCTCCTAATCATCGAAGCGTTGGCCGAGCGCGTAAGAGTGCGACCATGATCAAAATTGATTTAATCTCAACGCATGTTGAAAGAGCCAAATTTTCTCTCACTTAGAACGGCGTAACGCATCGCTAACTGGCATCATATCCAAATTTTCAAAACGACTCGTACAACTCCCACCGAGAGCTTTTCGCAAATTTGTGTAGAACAGAAGAAAACTGGACACGATACGAAGTGCACCATCCAGCAATTCTTTTGCTCGTATCGCAGCGAGCGTTGACATCAACAACAACACGTTAGGAGCACTTGCAACAATTCAGCTTTACCATCTCTCATTACGGAAAAACAGATTTATCACGACCGAACTTTTGTAGGAACAGGAAATCAAAGGATCAATCAACCATGGGTCTTTTTCGGAAGAAGAACCGCGGAGCGGATGCTGACTTCGATATTGACTTTGACGACTACGACAATTCAAGCATTCCGAGGGAAGTCAACACGAAGGGTGCTCGTCACTCTCGCTCGCGCTCCCTTGGAAAAATCTTTGGTGGATCTTCCTCGAAGAAGACCGACAAGAAGGGCAAGAGGAAGAGCGGAAAGGGCAACAACAACAGCGGCAGCATGGAAAAGATCAACTATTCCTCGTCCACATCGACCTCGAGCAACAGGGATGCCCGGGACGATCGCCCCCAAACGTTCCGCGCTAGCACCAGCAAGGCCAAATCCGAGACCAAGTCCCGACGTCACAACGAAGACTACGGTCAGGTGAACAGCCTCTGCAGTATCCCTCCCACGGCCGCCGACGCTGCCTTTCATGGTCCTCCACGCTTTGACTGGATCGATATCGTGAGTTTTCTATCCTCTCTTTTGTCTGTTGTTTCCAGCATTGGTCGGAAAACCTTTGCGTTCGTTTAGCGTGGCGCGTCTTTCCCGGCTTTTGAGTTGTCTCATTCTTTCTTTGGGTTGCCTTTTGACTATGTTCTTCCGATCTGCAGGAATTCAACGCGGCCACGATGATCCAGGCAGTCTTTCGTCGGTACTTGGTCTTGCAGTCTATGGAACGCGAGGGCGTAACGACCTCGTACATCCGAAACCGAAAGCGCCAGCGCAAAGCCAGCACCAAGATGTCCTACTTCCAGACATCCACGGTCGACGAGACTGCTCCCGACCTTGGTTTTGGCTGCTGCGCCATGGGGTTTGACCTCTGCGGGAACGACTACGATGCTGCAGATCTGGCCGCCTATCGAACCTTTCAGCGAAGACAGTACGAGGAAAGGAAGAAGGCGCAGAAGGATCGCGAAGAATTCCTCAGCCGATCCTACATGGAGCAGAAAGGAATCGATACCTCCATCATGCTGCGTGGTCAAAGTTTGATCGATGCGTAGATTTTAGAGGCTGGGACGATGGAAGCGACGACGACGAATGTGTGTATCGTTGTTGTTTGTGTTTTGCAATCTCGCTGCGATGGGGCCGACGAGGGTGGTGATTGTCGTGCTTCACCATTGCCCTTGTTGCATGGAAGTATGTAGCAAGACCACGCTGCTAGAATCTGGTGAAAAAGAGGGTATTTTGTCATCGAAAAGGAGATTGTAGGGGTGGTCTCGTTCGCGATGGGTGGGTGTCATTGTTATTTATTATCATTATATACATTGTTTTGATGAATGCATAAGTCGATTTCTTGGGCGCCTTTGAGATGCTGTGTTTTCTCCAATATACGGATCGTAACGATTCGAGTTGTGCACAGCATGGTGAAGTCTTCTCCGCGGGATTTTAAAAAAATTATTGTATCCAGTGCTATGGGAGGTCAATCTCAAAGACAGACAGACTTTTTATGTCCTTGATGTACTACGGCGTAACATACTATCATAACTAGCAGACTTTTTATTCTGCCCTAGATTGTTTACACGATTTACCCTCACTCTGTCACTTTAGTTTTTGGAGAGACATTTTAGTCTTCCGCTTGGAGCGATGTATCATAACGCGTGAGAAAAAAACACTGTTAAGTCGGAATCCCATGACCTTGCGAATGACGGGTCACAGCGAGCCGAATGAAGATTGTGAAAGATAATGAAATCTCTAGCAAAATATATTTTATGGTTACCGTATAAAATGAAAAAGTTGAACTTTTTGAGTGGAAGAGCAGGTTTTGTTTGTTCTGCCACGGGTTAAAATATCACTGAATAGCGCTGGCACGGCACACGATTGCACGCGTTTGCTCGCTCGTTTTGTTCCTTATTTCGTCTTCTTGGCATCCTTCGTCAATGGCACATCTTCCATGGACTTGTAGTATTGGATTCCGGTATCATCCTGCACGTAGTGGCATGTCTTTCCTACCCGCCACATGGCCTTGTACCAGGGGGTGGGATCGTAGTTGTAGAGACCCATGGGCTCGAGGTAGGCCTTGAGGGCGTGGGTCGCTTCCAAGGCGTTGTAGTGTGGCATCTCGTGGAACAAGTGGTGGGCAACGTGGGTCGATCCGATGCGGTGGTGGAAGAAGTCAAAGATTCCGTAGGGACGGTCGATGGTGGAAAGAGCACCACGAACCCAAGTCCACTCTCCGGTTCCGTAGTGGGGGACCGACGGATCGTTGTGCTGCAACCACGTGTACAATACCAACCAGGCATTGACAAAGAAATAGGGGTTCCAATACCACAAGATGACGGGCATGGGGCCGATCTGGGAAGGCAGCATCATGTAGCACAGAGCGGCCAACTGGAGGATGATGAATGAGGTCGACATGCCGATCTTAAAGGAAATCTTTCCGGGGAACATGGGTGAATCGGTGCGGAAATGGTCGGCGATGCGTCCGGCGAGGGGTTGCCCCTTGTGATCCATCTTGCCGGTGGAGGCGAGTCCGAGCAAATAAAGGGGCCAGCCAATGGCCAAATGGGTCCACACCTGGAATCCGGCAAAGGCACCGTCTCCGATCGCTTCGTGCATAACGGCATAAAAAGACTCGCGCTCGTTGTTGGGTCCGAGGCCGTTTTCTGAAGCGGTGGAGGGAACGTGAGATTCGCCATCGGTAAGGTGGTTCGTGCGGCGGTGATGCTTGGCGTGGGTGTATTGCCAGGCAAAGTAAGGCACGAGGAGGATCTGGTGGACTACGAACCCGACAATGTCGTTCCAGGTTTGGCTAGGGCTGAAGGCTCCGTGTCCGCATTCGTGTGCCACAACCCAGGGACCGGTCATGATGGTTCCCATCCAAAAGGCATAGAACGACCATCCAAAGGTCCATGTCAGTACGGCAACAGGATCGCGAATGTCGGGGAGATCCGTGGAGAGGCACTTGCTGGTGGCATAAACAAAGGCGCTAGCAATAATTAAGTCACGGATCAGGTACGCCATTCCCCAGATGTAGGATCTCTCGAAGCAATGAGCCGGGATAGAGGCCTTGATTTGGCCCTTGGTGGGCAGCTCAGGCGCATTCTTGTCCAAAGGATTGTACGACGACTTCCAATTTCCCTCGGCGTCCGTCTGTTGTCCCTTGAAGACTCTGGCCGCAGGCCGAGCTTGTGTAGCGTCTCCACCCTTTCCCATTGTGCTGATTCTTCAGTTTGATTAGTTGGTTGTGTTCTTTGAATACAGAAGAATTATGTGCTACACGCGTGAAAACAGGCAGGAGAAGATGAAATTTGATGCCCCTGGATTCCACGTGAGATTTCATTGCAAAATTTGAAAACGATAACCACAGCAGCGCCCGTACGGGTACTCGTACTCGTAATACCCCATCTTGGCTTTTGTTTGCATGGACGCCACGTCGTCTTCGGGAGTACTATCTCAATTTTTTCTTAGGGTGGTGTGGTACACGCAAAATCCGATCGTACGGTACAGATACAGATTGTTGATGGTTCGTCTTTTCCAGCTCACTAAAATAATGAAGCATCGCTCCGTAGATAATTGCGTAGTCCCGTTATTCATGACTGAAAAGAAGTTGTTCCCCCCAAAAAAACATTCCATTTTTTGATGACAACACACGTCAGGAAAAAGGGTGTAAGCAGTCGTCGATCGTTGACTAATACTGTATCAATTTTTGGTCTGGTTTGAATCGAGCTAGTCCATACTTTATTGGTTATCGGCTTCAGACTTTACCGGTAATGGTATCTTGTTACCTCCAGCGGATGTAGTTGTACCCGTACTCATAGAAGATCGAACGAGTCCATCGATAATCGATACGCAAGGTACCGTACGTACCGGTACCGGCACGTAATTGCACTCCCATAGTTGTATCGTACGTATGTACTACGTACTATGTCATATCTCATATCGTATCCGAGTAAAAAAACATCAACCAAGGCATGTTCTTTACTTTTTGTTTTGCGTGTTCATGTTTTTCACAGCACACTTTTTCATCACCCAGAAAAGAAAACATCGGAGGATACGAATGCAGATTCGATAAAAGAGCTACGAGTACCCAACATCATTCACAACATCGAAACCATGCACATCACCAACAAAAAATTCCTTTTCAAACTTCTGGTTGCACTTGCGTTTTTCCAAGCGGCCGACGCGTTTTCGTTCCAGCAGAGACTCCCTGTTTCGACAACGAAACTCCAAGCAACCGCTGAAAACGGGGAGGCTCCAGCACCAGCAGTATCGGCATCGGCACTCAAAAAACCTCCAACGCAATTCCAACATGTCCCAGAAAATACAAGTCATAGCAGCGGTGGAAATTTAAAGGACGACGAACCCTTGGTTCTTACGAGGAGAAAAGCTGTGACAAGCGGCTTGTCGTTGCTTACTGCGGCCACCGGCTTGCCCCTCCTCGGTGCCAACGCAGCCTCCGACACCGAAGAAATCGTACGACAGGAACAACCCTTCCGAGTTCTCTTTGTTGTCCAGATCGATCCGAGCAAGCCCAATGAACTCTCCGAGATCGAGATCGAGGTCCGGCCCGACTGGGCCCCCCTCGCGGCCGCTCGATTCCGGAAGCTCGTCGAGCTTGGCTTTTACACGGACTGCCGGTTCTTTCGGGTCCTCCCTGGCTACGTCGCCCAGTTCGGGATCGCCTCCGATCCTGCACTAAACAAGAAGTGGTTGTACTGCGGTGCCAGCGACGAGGAGGGCCGACAACAGTGCCAGAAGCCCATCCCCGACGAACCCCGCTTGCAACCCAACAAGAGGGGGACGCTCTCCTTTGCATCGTCGGGGAAGAACTCGAGGACGACGCAGATCTTTGTCAACCTGGTCAACAATGACGGGCCACCAAACTTTCTGGATCCGCAGGGCTTTGTTCCCTTTGCACAGATCGTCCGGGGGATGGACGGCGCCACCAACGTGCCGAAACAACTCAACTCGGAATACGGCGGGAAGGTCAACCAGGGAAAGGCGGCCTTCTACGGGGCGGAATACTTCCAGGCCGTCTTTCCGAGACTGTCGGTCATAAAGACAGCCACCGTTTTGTAGCGTGGTCGCTCGATCTTTTAAAAAGCGAAGAAATGAATGCCTGCGCAAAACGATACAAGACTGCCCCTCGTTTGATTTTTGCATCCGAATCGTTTACCGCACACCTACCGCACACAGAAAGAATCATTTCAGGCGTTCCGCAATTTAGGCGTTAGAAAGCGAAACAAGACGAAGCCAAAAAAGTACGATAACTTCTTGAGGCATTGTTTTGTCCATTGATGCTAACCATTATGATTCTCTTTGAAATAAGAATCATATCGAATGAAACGAAGATAGAATTCAAGCTTAAAAAGAACTTACCCGAAAACATAGCATGTCATTATTTGCCAAAAGAGAGTTATATATGGGTCATCGAAGCGGAGCGACTGATTTTTTAAGCTGACAATACAGACTAGCTCGTCCTGTTGAGATGAGGGAAAGAGTTATGAAAGTCAACTGAATTATGAAACAGGGATTTCAAACTACGGCAAGTCATTCAGAACTGTGCTGTTCGTACCAGCACCTGTTACATTGCCAATGGGTAACAATGGAAGGAAACCCTTGATTTCAAAAAGATGACGACTTGAAGGGAATAATGATTATGAAAATCAATTTCAAGTTTATTCTATCATTACATTCTATAGAGCACATGGCAGTATTATGATACCGCATGTGCAGTCTTACTTGTACACTTTTTCTCTGGGAAGAAGAGTTGTTTCGCGACGTTCCTATCGCAGTTTTATATCGTAGCCAGTGTTTTTGTTGACGTTCCCCTTGTGTCATTTATTCTAGGAAGAGGTGTACTACGCTCATTTCTCGATGCCATAAATACTGACACCAGCAACATAGAAAACGGCGTTGCTGCCGTTCTTACTTGTTGTATCCCCTACGATTCGAACTTTCGTCGTACTTGTGCCCTTTTCTACTTCGAAACTTGCTGCATTTACGAAGTTCCACCTTTGTTTCTCGTCAATATTGATCCCGTACCTGTATTCTTTAAAGTCTGTCCATGAATCTCCGTGGCTTGTCGAATATTGCAGCTTAAAACCGTCTGTGAAGTCCATCTTCTCGATGATATACCAGAAGTTCACCTGCACGACATTGCTTCCATCGAGGTCTAAATCCGTCTCGATGTAAGGGAGCTTATTTTCATCTTTCATTTGAAATTTTGCCGTAAGGATGTATTGAAACTCGTTTTGCTCGACTTTGTTACCACCACCATGGAATGCCCCGAGCCCATCCTTAAAAATTTCCGTTAGCAGTGGCTTCGGTCTGTTGATTTGACCACCTGTGAGAACATTGAGTCGTCCTCTTGTTGGAACTGGGGTAGGGGTTGTTGGTAATCGGGTAGGCGACACAACGGGTGTGGGCACTGGTTGTGGCGCGAAAGTTGGCGCGGGGACAGGTGCGGCTGTAGGCGCCGGTTGTGGAGCCAAGGTTGGGGCGGGGATGGGAGCATCGGTAGGTGTCCAAAAATTTGGATCGTTACACGTTGAGCCATTGCAGCACGACGGGAAGACACAGGTGTCATAGTATATAGCTACGGTCACCTCGTTGAAAAACGATTGACGTTTCACAAATTCAACAACAAGGTTCTTGTTTGACCCACCAAAATTGAAGAACGTATGGGTGGGCTCGTCAATGGAAATATTGGCTAAGAAATCAGAAGCACTGTAATTTGGGGCTTGCTCCACCACAGTAATTCTGTTAGCTGCCATGAGGACTCCAGAGTTCATATCCTTTTTTCTATTGTATCCGACGAATAGATTTTTGTTGTCAGGACTCAGGATTTTAACAACAACTTTTGAGTTTTGGGAAACACTAGCGTTCTCATAATCAGCCACTCCAATAAGCGAGCCCACCCATGTTCCGTCATTGGGATCAATTTCCACCACCTTCTCGTCATACCATCCCAGCTGATAACTCTTTGCTGGGTTGAAGCACTGCAATGGTCCGTCATCAAGTTTGTAACTGAAGCCCATCATGCCCGACTTGTCCCCATACGAAACACCATCTTTACCAGAGTGTGCCAGTCCAAGATTATGGCCAATTTCTGGAACGATTAAAAAGTTTTATTGGAACACGATAAGAGTAGGATGAGAAATAATGTGAAAGAAATTTGTGCATGGCACTGTATGACAACTCGATTCATAACTTACCGTGTACTTGCGTGGTCAGTGATTCGCAAAAGCTATCGTTAAATACAGACAGCCAAGAATTGACGTATGCATAAGCAACCCTAGAAGTAGTTTGGATGCAAAAGAGAATAATCATTAGCTGAAAAATTGGGTAGTTTCATCCATTTTCATACAGAGTTACAGTGTTGAATTCTTACCAGTTTTTGTTGGTCGATCCTACACGCGAACCTGGGGGCAGACACAGCATGACGTGGTCGAACTGATCACTGAGACTTCCCACGATTTTGTCGGCCGCCTCTTCCAGTGCATCTTCTACAACAAATCGGCTGGTATCGATTGCGTTCATATTAATGTTCACATCGATGACACCGTTGTCAACATAAAATCCTCCTTCTGTCATACCCCGAAAGGGTTCGAATTCGAGTTGTCCATGCGAACATGCGGAATATTGAGAACTTAAATTTGCCAAGTCATTTCCCGTCCCAAAGATTTTGTCGGATAGAATTTCTTTTGACGAAGATGTGACAGTGTCTTGTGCATTCGCTCTTACTACAAGCACTTTTTTGGTTCCTTTGGTGCGCGAAGCCTGCTGAAGTTTCCTTCTTCCGTTGCTTCCGAATTCGATCGCGGCGCCCGCTGGCAACCACATTTCACCATCCATGATCATTGCTCCCTCCGCGATAAGAGTAGTATCCCCACTGATAATGTTGTCGAGTTGGCCTCTTTCAATGCCATTGATTGGGACAAAATATGTACCAACTGCCGCTCTATCCTCTGCTTGTAGCTCGCATTTTACTTCGTAATCTTCGTCATGGAGCTCTCTTCGATTGCTATGTCCCGATCCATTGTACATTCGCTCTCTCGATCCATACTTCAGTTCTGCCTCGCCTAGTTCATCTGCGTATTCCGACTCTATTTGAACCAAAGTGCACGGGTGTTGTACACGCAAAGCTCTCCGCTGAATGCCTGCCGAACCTCGCAGAGACGCAGACTTCCGGACACAAAAACGCCAAGCAATGGATAAATTAGTAATCAAAACTGATGTCATAACCATGGCATTGCTTAATCTGACTACAACTCCTTACCGAATCATTGGCATTTGCTCTGTACAGCAGCGATATGAAAAAGACTGCTTGCAACTTCATATTTCACCGTCTTCTCGAATTATGAAGCTCTGCTGTAATGACTATAAGGAGCTGAAAAAGCACAATCCGAATGCAACAAGAATATGTTGGATGGATGATCGTCCAATGGGTGGATCTTTCTTTTGAATTTATTGAAATGTGGGAAGGAAATGAAGACACTGCGAGGGCAAGCAGTTTGTTGAACTGTTATCCATTCGTGATTCGAATCGTGTGCTACCTAAAATCTCTGTTCGATCTCGACGAAATCATGGTTTTTACGAACCACTCCGATCTTCCCATTAAGTCCATTATCGTATATCTCAGTACTAATTGTACGTGCTAGTCGTAAAACGTCTCAAACCGTCTTAAAACGGGAAATACCACAGTTCGCCATAAAACAATTGGAGTGCCGATAATAGAGATCTCTGACGAAAAATCTGGGATCAACAGGACCGTAGGAAAAATCCTAGAATCGTGCGCAATTGCCCTTTAAGTTTCCCCAATCACACTTAACAGAATCGAATTGATATTTATAGCACTGCTGTTTTAAATCTAACAACAAACTGTAATACAACAACACACCAAAAATCTCGCACCGACGAATTGATATAAATGATAATGACTTTTGAATCTGGATTAACGACTTTGAAAACTGAAAATACTTCTACATACTATTCTACCGAAATTGCCGCCTATCTCTTCCTTTCCTGTTCGACATCGTCTTTTTTTCTCATTCTCTCATGAAAGACTCTAAAAACTTTTCGTTGGTACGAATCACATTAAGAATCTAGCAAAAAACGCCTTTACTAAATTTAGAATCACGTTAAGAATTTAGCAGAAGAGCTGGCCCTACTAGTACTACGGTACGTTGTAGATCTTATGAATTCAGTATCGCCATTCGCCGACAATACTATTAAGTAAGAACTAAATTACTTCAGAAGTGAGAGGAAGTTTCATCATCTCACAAAAGCTTACTACTTGTACTTTGTTGCATTACTTCTTGATCACTAGCTATAGTAATTATTTTTTGCTTATTTCAGTACATCTACAAACCTTATGATTGCACCACCACCACATGATGATGTCGCAAGGTACGGTGCTAACAAGGCAGGTGATGAGCAACAACAGACCTAACTCCACTGCTCATCAGCCTCTCCTACTCCACAAAGGACCATTGATACCCAAGTAGTCTGATTTAGTACACCCCTCTCATCCTAGAGCATCGACAGATTGCTTTACCAATTAACTACTAGAGTCTTTTTCACCAGACCACCACCACCAAGGAAAAAATGGGCTACCCACGACATCAGCATCATTATTACCCAGCTCCAAATTGTCACAACAACCAAGAATCTCTCTGTGACTTGTGAGGAACTTAACACTGTAAAGGAAGTCCTATGACAAGAAGCACAAGAAGTCGCTGTCTGTAATCTTCAGGAACTGCTGAACTCAATTTCCCATATAGACAACATAGTCATCCCTGGATATATCTTGCTTGCGTTGTTTTTTCATCTGTTTATCTGAATGATATCTTCTTTCAAAATATAGTTTTTGGGAAAACAGTAGTATTTTCATCATCATGTCAATGATATCATGTATTGGTTGCCTGGGAAAGAACCATTTGTGTAAAAAAAAGAATATCACGCCTATCCTGATATCCTTTTTTCCAATTTTGCTTCTTGTCAATTCACTTCCCTGTGTCAAGAAGCCCACAACCAAAACACTGTACTACTCAACAGTTTCAGTGCTTCAGTTATTCCAACCTTCTTCTTTCTTTGCTCTGGCTGAAACACCTTTGTAGACTCTACTCCAGATGTCAGAATCATTCCAAACTGAATTTGCTTCTTGGCATCCAAATTACTTCTGGAAGTAGTGAAAATAAAACTACATGTACTCAGCCCCCACTCTTCCTTGGACAACTTTAACTCCTCTCTGGATAATTTTTCACATAGTTCCGTAATGTTTGGAGCTCTTTTGTCATGTTCAGGTTTGACCACTTTCTGAAGTTGTTCCATGTCTTGCTTTTGGAGAATTTACTGAAATCAAATTCAAGCATAAGAACCTTATAACAATGAGACTGAATCAAGGTTGCTGCCAGTTGCGGCTTCCCCCTTTTTCATTAATCATATTTGTCATTTTTCTCCAGTTGCTGCAGATACCACCAGCATGCATCTTGATGCATACAGTCATTGCTTCCTTGAAGCACCAAAGTGGGATCTCTTTATTTGGAATTTAGACCAGCATATTTCCATTGCCAAAAAAACTGTATTGTTTAAAGAAGTCTTATTTGAATCTACCGTGTCAAGATCATCTGATACCTTTTTTGTGGTAGGCACTAGTACTAGGGAAAAGGGATGCAACGGATGTGTACGTACAGTATCGGAAGTATACGTACATACAGTATCAGAAGTATACGTACGTACTAAAAGGAAGTACGCACATACTGAAAAGGAAGCATATGTACATACAATGCTCCCCCGGAATGATTGGATATACCATTCCTACCTACATATCATAATGTACTATTAATATATATACATCATACAATCCATCATGTTGAGGATCATGAGAGGTCTAAGATACTATTCGAGAATACCTCACAAAGAACAGAGATGTCACGAGTCTGGAATGGAAGAACCTCCATGTAGATTCTAATCGGAACTTCAGAATTCTTGTGAACGCGCCAGGTATTCTACGAATAAATCTAATCTTATAATTCAAATTTTCTTACACACTAAAAACATACTAAGAGTACACGTAATCTYGTGCACAGTAATTACTGAGTGATTTTTCGTGTATCAAAATTAATCAACCCTTAAGAAAACCAACCAAAAATACCATCGACCATGGTGAAGACAAATAAGAATACCAACTCCTCCAAACAACACAACACACCGATCCTGTTTAAGACTTACAAACAGCTTCGATCCGGTCCAATTGAAAACAGTCTCGATGACTACATGGCGCCAAAGAACCTTTAACAAACAGAGAGATCAAGAAGATCCTTTTTAGATCCTTCCCCAAAGCCTGGCAAAATGACTACGTCAAATGTGGGAGGAACATCCTCAACGAGACAATTGAAGAGATTGTGGAATTCATGACTGACCAAAAAGGAATAGCAGATGAGGAACGGCAGCAACGTTCAAGGAAAAGACCAGCAGATGATACTGCAGATACTAATACAAGACAATGAGGAAGGAATCATGGTAAACAAAGAAGAAGAGGAAACAACAGTAACAATGATAGAAACAACAGACAGAATGAGACCCCGGAGGAGAGACAGAGTAGGATCAATGCAAAGCCCTGTAATAAACACAATGGACAACATCTTTGGGGCGAATGTTGATTCAATAAGAAGGGTTACAATCAAAGCAATAATAATAACAACAATCACGGAGGAAATCAGAGAAACCAGGGAAATTCAAATGCAAGCAACAGCAGTAAGAGGTTCACACTGGGAATGTATCTATGCTCAATGGATGAACATGGGAACATGAGTAATTTCCAACCACAATCAATCCAAACTCAGACTTATCAGCTTACCGGCTCTAACTCCAGTGGCCCTCCAAGCCACGTATCACTACAGTCCAACAGTAATACGGGCTCAACGGTCCAATTCCAAGGGCAAGGACAAGGACCAAACCAACAGTGGTGACATCCGAAAGAGGCCTTCTTTGCATTGCCTCCACCACCATTTACTCCATCACCAGCGGACAGCATTGAGCTGTATGGTCTTGATAATGATGAAGCTCTTAAAAACCCAACAGCAACGACCTTAAGAGCTTTGAAAACACCACCGGATGTGCAGGATGTACTACCAGCAGTCATCCTAGTATGCAAAACCATTCAAGGCCTACCGACAATGAACACCTTTAAAGTCCTATTGGATAGTGGAAGCACAATGTGTCTCATTCACGAGCGTTGGCTTCCACCAGGAACAGTGCCCTTCCAGGACCAATTCAGCTTGGTCATGACCACAGCTCAGGGGAGCTTTGATACTTCCAAGTGTGTCTTCATCTCCAATATTCGTCTCCCCAAGTTTGGCAATGGCAAATATACACGATTCTCAGTTTTCATAAAATGATGAACCTTGCTTGCCATTACTCGTCTGTTTTGAATTTGCATTGATCCCTGAACATGGTGGATATAATAATGGAAAGACTCCATTGGAATATTTACATTATCTGTTCCTGTAATGAAGATGTACTAGATTTGGCAACTGGCAATGTTCTCCACAAATGCATGCATAACCACTCACTTCTTTGTGCAAAATGAAATGCATTTTTCTCCATAATATTTTCCCCCATTTTGGGAATTCGGAATCCCGTTTTATATCGTATAGCATTGGCCAGCAGATGTACGATAATAATATTGGGGATTTTTGGCTATCTAATTACCGTGTAACAACTCGTGGGATTAAAAATTGGCTTGTACTGGAGTACCGTACAGTATACAGCCAGCACGTGCTGAATTTTTGAATCCCACCAAAATAGTCTTGCACGCACATGCAGGCACGTGCAAAATAGTTTCGCTCGCACGTGCACAATGTAGCCCTAGTACAAGTGAAATTTTTAATCCCACGAGTCATTACATGGTAAAAAGATGGCAGAAATCCCCGCACAGTACAAAAAACAAGTAGGGCAATAAGAGAGGTTCAACTCACTCGAACAGCTGTAACTTTTCGCCCAACGGACGCTTAAGTATGATAAGCACATGTTTGAAAAGAGAATTCAACGAGCTTTCTAATGCGGTGAGGGAGAACGGCGTACGTTGAATATTGATCGATATTCATGTACGTATATCCGTATTCAAAAATGTACGATAATTTCGGCCGGAAACCCGTGGCCCACGCTATACGATAGCGTGCATATCATTTAGTGAGCATGTGCGTAGTAATACTGAATCTGTTCAGTCAAGGATTCCAATAAAAATATGTCTAAATACATAGATCCTGGTTGCTGTGAGCTCACTGTAGCAACCAAAATCTGTGTATTTGACATACATAAAAAGAGCTGGTCAAAATGAAAGACATAGTTTTAGGTTTTCAGGAATTACCCAATACAGTGTTGACACCTTCGACTTTCACTGCCACCAAAAGAGACCAAGAATCACACTGAGTACCCAAGGCAAAGCACCAAATTAATAGAATGAAACAGATGAAGACACACGCAGGGGTCGTCAGATCTAACTGCGTACTAACTTTCTTATGAAGAAGTCATTGACGTGATGTAACCATCATGATGTCAGATACGTACACATCAATGAAACGGAACATAGGAATGAGGGATGGCATGGTTAGAAATAACATCATGTCATGAAATTGAAGGCGGGTAACAATATTTCATACAACTGGTAGTAAAATGACACCAGAGGAGTACATGTAACTACAAAACGCGCCAGAATTTTTGGGCTTCGTGGAAGAGAATTGGTAAGGACAGCTGGCAGGAAAACCGTTGGGGTTAGCAACAAATTTTTTGTGCATCACAAATCATGAGAAAAAAAGAGAAACTTAAATTCCACCTGTGGTCCAAATTTCCAAAAAGAACAAGTCCCCAAGGATTTTTTTCATTCTCATTTTTTTCTGTGTAATACTAGTAGTAAAACTATCCTCCAATCTTCAAGCACCAGCAGTTACAGCTTTATCAAAAATACTACTTTTTATTTTTGAGTACTAGCCAGTCTACTCCAGTTTTTAAATGCTGATTCTGACTATACCATTTTGTCAGACATGAAAGTTAATATTTGTGGTACTATTTTACTATTGAAAAATGAAAAATGAACATAATTTCCATACTACGAAGTAGTAATACTGTACTAGACAATTTGGAGAACAGGCGGAACAGAACATGCGTTGTGACCCCTGGACACATGAACCAAAAAAATGAAGAACTGTTTTGATATCTTTTGTACTAGAATCATAGTTCAGCACTTCATCGAACTGATTACGTGAATAAATTTGGAACAGAAGGAAATCATAGCAATACCAAAAGGAAAGGACAAGAATAATGACTGAATCTATTAGTCTTCCTAACGGCAGAACTGATGGCTTGCTTCGTCTTTCCAGCGCTCTTGGCAGTGACAACCAGCACAACGAAAACGCAGACTTGATTGTATGGCTGGATACCGCGACCGTCGACGACCTTCGTTTGGCTTATCCCGTGCTACTGAATTGGTGCCGGAACTCCTTTGTGAAATCGGCTAAATCCAAACACGGCAAGACCGGCAGAACACAGTCCCTGACAGAAGCCACGAGTGCCGCCGACGCACCCGAGGACAATGACAATTCGAGCACTGTTCTTCTTTCTACCATTACAACGACAGAGGAAGTCGCCGAAAGGATTATCAAAGTCTTGGAAGACGCAATTCAACGCGATGCAGGTGATTCTGTATTTCTGAGCAGCGAAGATGCAAACGAGAAAAAAAAACAAGAAGTCGCGGCAAGATATGCTTCCATATCCGCCCTCCGAATGTCCCTGGCGGGATACCTCCACACCAACCACGCGAAGATGCGGGGCCTTCCCGTCGTTTCAAGTCTGGAAGAGCGGATCAAAGGCCGGTTAGGATTCGATCGGCCCGCCATAAACACACTGAACATGGTCAACGCGGCCTCGGTGGACCACTCTCTGTCGATGTCGCAGTACATAAAACCAGAGGACGAGAAGGCCGATAAGGGCTGGGGGATTCCCCGTATCCATCTTGATCTCGGCCTTGGTTTGCAAGAGAGTTCGCCCGCAGACGTTTGCAAGCAGTTCATCAGCGACAATAAGCCGTTGCTGCACCCCTTTACGGGCGAAAAAGTCGGTCGCATGCAAGTGAAAAAGGTCTTTCCTTCGAAGCGAAAACCAGTCTGGATAGAGTATTTTGCACCGCCGTCGTCGCCTTCCGATGGTTCGGAAGAAGGATCTATCGAGGAACCGCTAAAGCCAGATGTTCTCGCCAAGCAGGGTGATGACCTTCGCAACGATTTTTCCGTAACATGTGTCTCGAGGCTCTGCGAAGATATCTGGGCAGCGGCTTCCGTTGATTGGAAGCTGGGCCACCCACCCACGGTCTGCGCCTACGATGTCCTTGTCACCGCTCCCGATGCGGGATACCTGGAAATGGTGCCGGGAAAGAATTTTTTGGACCTGAGCCAAAAAGTTGCAGGAGTGGAACCAAATCCGGATGATTCTTCCACCACCAAAAGCAGCTTTAGTTTTGAGCTGAGCAAACCATTTTGCATGGATCGCAAAACCGGATGGGACGATGTCGATGTAAAAAAGTTGGCCCCTAGCTTGGTGGGGTCGTACATTGTGAACTTTGTGCTCGGCGTACGGGATCGGCATGAGGACAACATGATGGTCGTGGGTGATCTGAGTGAGGATCCAAGAATGATGCAGATTGACTTTGGATACATACTAATGGAATTCCCCGGAGGCGTCCATTTCGATATGCCCCGCCTGACCATGCCGATTGCGCTGGTAGATCGCTTCAACACCGAACCTGGCAGCGACGAGGGCCACACACTGATGGAGGATCTCCAGCATGACATGCTTACCGCATACCTGATTCTGCGCAGGAATTCCAGCCAGTTCATACCCTTTTGCGCCCACCTCATGTCGTCTTCCTATGAATACAAGCACGTAGAAGCGGTCCTGAGGGGCAAACACGTCTTTCGGACAAATATGGACGAAACGAAAGTCATCAAGTGGATGACGCAAAAGCTGTTGACTCAGTGGGCCCACTTTTATTTCCGACGGGAGATCAAGCAGGGCATGGTCAGCGGATACTACAAATTTGTCGAAACAATGACCTTTGAAAACAAGGGAACGGATAGCAACGAGAAGCATACCATCAGGAAAAGACTCACAAGTTTTTTCGCGCAGAGATCGAGCCACGAGGCAGCAGCTCGAAGCGGAAGCGATCACGAAGACGTTGATGATTCCATTGACGTTGACGATGACGATGATAGCTACCATGTGCTTGACGATGGCAATAATGGTTCTAGGGATGTTAGCAACCGCTCGATTCAGGATTTCGGTGTCGATCTCCAGGATTGTGTGAAGGAAGCAATGCTACAGCAGAAGGAAGTGCGCAGCTTCATGATATCGCAGAAGGAGGAGCACGGCACCCTCATCGACTTGGATGATGATGAAGATGCGAAAAAGTCATCGACATGAGTTATGCTGTATCGCATCAAGTTTTCTTTTGGCTTTGTAAACTGAAAATTTACGGGCTAAGTGCTACAGGTTGTTTCAGTGTGGCACAAAATGCACAAAAATGAAATGTGACAAAATATCTAATTATCTAACTATGTAACTATTGAAGTTTAACTCTTGAGGAGAGAGAAAGTCAGTGAAGGATCAGCCATCCTCATCATTGCATTGGATTCATGATCGTTTCCAGGTGAGAAAGTGTGTTCTAGTGGGTTTGCCATCGCGGACGCAAGTTAATGCATGCAGTCCTTTGCCTCTCTAAGATTATAGCAATCGTTGTATGCTGTAATGAACAAGTGTTCCCGTTCATCATCAGAAAACAAAGTTATGACCAGTTTTGTGGTCTATTTTTTCGCAAGTTCTATCCACGAATAACACGACTTACTGTAAAGAACGCCACTCTCTGCTCTACCCTGCAACAATGAAGTACGTACTGGTACTCATTTGTACGAGTAAGAGTATAACTCCAGCATGGAGGTATTCAAGTGAAGTAGCTTGGCTGACATGCGCTGTGGTTGAGGTCCTGGGGCTCTTAGTAAACTGAAACTTGTTGTAAGTCCTTGCGAATCCCTATTAGTGCTTACTACTTGGGAACGAACTTCACCTAGTGCTATGTGAAATGTATTCTAATACCTAGTTCGAGACTAACTCATGTTAATTTTTCCCCCCTGTTTAGTCTTGATGTTCTCTAGTATGAGGCCTAATGATTGATTCAATATCCAGATGTAGAAGAAAGATTATCGACTCCTGCTTTTGATTTTCACGTTCGAGGACATGAAGCCATAAAAATGTGGAGGGCGTTGGGGGGTGTCTCTGTCGACGATATTTCCATTGCCATTCTCGTAACCACCATTGGCATCGATCCCCGAATTTCCCACCTTCTGGAACTTCCATCCTAGAATAGATCCACACCTGTAGCACGAGGTGATCAGCCAGCTGTAACCCGGGAAGTAGCTGTTTTCTGTGCTTGGTAGGCCCTGGAAGGAGAGCTTGCTTTCGTCCACGTTACGGAGGGTGGTGATCTGGTGGATAAAGCCGTGGCCGTTGACGTAGGTCGAGGTGGTCCCCTCGGCGCCACCCACCGTGAAGATATTCGACACGCCGGTGAGGTTTGTCTCGCACAATTCGCAGCAGATGCGGGTTTCCGCATTTTCCGCCGTCCATCTACAGACCTTCTTCCAGATGAAGAGAAGACGCTCTAGCACGGAGCTTGTTTTCAATAGTTTCTTCCGTTCTGCTTCGGAGAAGGGTGCATTGTTAGCCATCCAGTAGGAAAACTTCGTCGCTGGTTTGAAATTTCAAGCGAACGAAAACAGAAAGCAGACGACAAAATCCATTAGATACTCGTAGGGTTCAAGATCGATCAAACCGAAAGACTCACAAACCAAAATGATCGTGGCAACAAGCTGAGAGGAACCAACTACTTACGTTCCAGATTCTCTCGGTTCGTCACGACGGAGTCATCTCCGAGGGAGGGGAGATTTCCCCGTCCATTGTTCGTCTGGAGCGCTTCAGCTATTTTCCAAACAAGGCTCCAAGGCATCAATTGGAGATATACAAAGTACGGAACCGGTGTGAGCCTAGAGAGATTCCAGGCCATGCGTTCGATTGGCGCCTGCATCCGTGTCGATCTGGTTTCAACAACATCCGATTCACTTGTTCTGATGCGGCCCGTTTTGATCGAGCCTTTTCCCAAATGCTCGTCGTCGTTGTTGCCATCGTCGCTTTCGTCATTGTCGTCGACCTTACCAAAGTGGACGCATTGTCCCCGGAAGGGAAGAAGCCGAAAGGGAACGGGTGGCAATAACAACGGTTCGTCGCGCATGTCCTCCACCTCAAAAAGGTTCTCGTCGTCGTTGAGGCACGACAGGATGCGAAAGCGGCTCGTCCCCACCGCGGTAAAGACGAGCTCGGGGGCTTCTTCATAGCGTCCCCAGAGAGTGGACGAGGATTGGGAATGCCCATAACTGGGATCGCTCCCTCCATGTCCACCCACGGATGACGCTCGTTCATGTGTGTGCCGAACCGTTGCAATCGTCCCGATTCGCCCGACCAGGGGGTGCGACTGTTCTGGACTCAACGGCGGACGTGGCAACGAATGCTCATCGTTGTTCTCGTCAAAACCAACGTCTCCATCGCTATCGTCTCCCGAGCTTCGTTCCGAGTCCTCCAGATCCATGTTCTCGTCGAACTGGAATTCGTCTTGTAGACGGGTGAGGCTTCGCCGCAGGGCGTGACTGGACTCGGTTGCCCGAATCTCACGATTCCCAAAGGAAAATCCTCGCCGCATCCACGATCCTCGCCGTTGAGACGCTCTTTGTGGTTCTTCTTGAGGTTCATTGGTTCGTCTGCGCCTCCTGTGTTGTTGCGGCAATGTCTGTTCCGGGGACTGGTATTCGTAGGGCAGTATACCCAGCTGCACAACTGGCTGCGCAACGGGATCATTCCTGCACAATCGTATCTGCCGTCCGAGGTATCTAATCATGGACCGATTTTGCAGCTTGACCGGAATGGTGCATCCCGGAAACAGTACCACCCCGTGCAACTCGAGGACGGCCACTTCAAGTGTACGTTTTGCGGTAGGTTTGAGACCCGTAGAATCTCTATGCAGAGCTCTCCCGCTGGCCATCCTTAAATAGCGATCTTCATCCGGTAATAAAGGATGAGATTCTTCCAGATACGAGTGGTCTCTGGGAGGGGCGATGGAGCAATCGGCAGCGTCGTTCGCGAGACGGGTTTGGGAAGAGGCAGTGGTTCGAGAATCTCCGTGTTCGTCTTGACTAGATGGCGAAGGGACTGACGTGATCGATGCACGAGATTCCGTGCCGTCATCGATGACATCATCGATGACATCGTCCCTCGCTCCCTCTACTTCTATTACTGACGGTCGGCGATGGGTTTCTTCTACTTCGGAGTGATCCGACATGGTCGCAATACCGAATGTTTGAAACTGTAACTAATATCTGTATTTTTTCTGCTATAATTCCCGTTTTGGAACCGGCTCCTTGTCGTGAATGTTCTATCGATCTACTTCTTGTTGTAACATTTCGTTTGCACCAGTGTATTTCTAATCATCCCTTACGGATTTCGTAGCTTGATGCAAACAAAGTGATTTCATCACCGAAGAACCGTAGAGTAAAGTACTAGGTACAGAACTGTACTTCGATTCAGTCGCACACTCGAATCCTTGATGGCAATTTTACTACCGAGCTGGATCAATCCGACTAACTCGAATAACAATAACAACGCCAGTGATGAGAGTTGATAGCTTGAGATCGTCTTCAGAAACAAGGGGCTCAAGGTACGTAAACGAATACAAGTACGTACTCTGGTACGGTACAGTACATACGCCATAAGCAGAGGATATATTTTAATGACGCCTGCGCCCTGGGCCACAAGAAACACGAAAGCTACGGTATTTGTACTTTCCTATGAAATATTCTCGGTGAGGGAATTATGTTTTTGATAATTGATGATTGCAAACCCAATAGATATGAACCATTTCAGCGAATACCAATGGATTCAATTGGTAGAGAGAATCGGTGAATCGTTTGCGTATTTCTAGTTATTTGTCGTCTATCCATCTCAACCCACTCCCGGTTGCATACAAGGGGGTATTGTACTTTGTGGCGTGGCTTTCCAGATCAGTACTGTTCCGCATTCAAAAGACTGGGCAATCCAATATCACCATGCGTCCTTGCTGCATAAGACACCATTGCGATGAAGTGTAGCATAATCCATGGATCGCCCTGTTGAGACCCGGATCATGCTAGCAGCTACCTGGCTAGACGGTACCATGGCATAGCATCACATTCTGCCAACATCGGCATCCCGGTGCATCTGAACGGCCGCTACCGCCGCAACCGCGGCCGTTTCGGCCCTTAGGACCGACGAACCGAGGGAGACAAACCGCAACCCCGAGCCCGTCAGCCCAGAAAAGACTTCGAGCTCCCGCGGGCTCCATCCCCCCTCCGGTCCCACAAGGACGTGGAGAACGATTGCGGCGTTTGTGCCACCCGCCGATTCCGAAGCAGGAGCGGCAGAGAGTTCTCGGAGTGCGGACAGAATGGGGGGGCTCGATTCCGACCGCTCCCGGCACACCATCCAAACGTGCCCGGCAATCGAATCTGTGTCTGGTTCGCCATCGCATTCTTGACCGCCGGCGGGGAGAGCCACCCTGTCCGCGATCTCGTCGATCGTCCAGGCCTGGTCCGAGAGTTCAGGAACCGTCAGCCGCTCGCACTGCTCGGCCGCTTCGATGGCGTGCAGCCGGTGCTTCTCGCGGTCTTCCTCCCACCGAACCTCCTTTTGTTTTCTCTTGTAGCTTCCGGGATCGCTCGGGTTGTTGTTGTTAGAAAAATCCGTCTCGAGGATCGTGATACAATCGGCCCCCAGTTCGGTTGCTTTTTCTATGACCCACCTCCGCCGCTGCTTGTCCTTGAGGTATCCAAGATACAATCGGAGGCTTGCAATCTCGTTGTGCTTATTGCGGTTGCCGACGATTGCTGCTTCGTCTTGCCGTTCTCGGTGTGTCCCTGCTCGTTCTTGTGGAAGAAGCCGCTGCAGGCACTCTAGAACGGTCCCCGATGATGTAGATGCTTCACCACCGTTGCTGCTGTTGGTTTTCTGTTTTCCCCCTCGCTTGCGTCGCTGTTTCTTGTTTTTGGTTCCGCCCCCGGCATCTTCCTCTGGCACGACAACCCTGGCAAGCCACTCACCGTCGACTCCGTTGAAGATTCGGACGCATCCGGTATAATCCAGAGCGTCTTTCTCATAAGCCCCTGCCTCATCGTCGTTGTTTTTCCGCTTCTTGCCACCGATGCGTGGTCCCCATCGCTTGGCATTGGTGATCCTCATGACGTCCAGTAAATAATGTTCTTGGTCGACCGTCAGCGGGACTAACGATTTCTCCCTCAGCGGTATTACGAAGCTATTGCTATTGTTGTCGCTGCCTTTGTCGATAAATAGCCGAGGCAAGTGCCTCGTGGTTTCGGCGACTTTTCTCTCAGAATTTTCTCTGTCTCCGTTCGCAAACGGAGCACCCTCATCGACGCTTACTTCGCTCGCTTTTAAAAAAGATGTTGTCGTTGGTATTGAAGAGTGATAACACCGGATATTTCTGTATCGTAGATTATTTGTCTTCGAAGGATTCCAAGGGCGATAGAAAGAATCATCGCGTGCAGTGTTGCTGTTGAAGTGATGACGTCGACGTCCCAGACAACCTGTGCTGCTTCTGTTTGGAAGTATTCGCCGTTCCTGTTGAAAGGCAGATGTGGATGACACTGCAACAAACAGCGACGAAACCAGAGAAGCGGAGCAACTATTACCAAAGATCCCATTCCGATTGAATGATCCGTGGTTTGGGGACGAATAGAGCGATGCGAGAACGGCTAGGGTTCTGGTGGCAATCGATATCGCCGGACGTCCCGAGTTGGAACCCGTCATCTTTTGTCGACGGAGAACCATCTTTCGAGCGCTCGAACCTTTGTTCTTTGCGATTAAAAATGCAGTGCGCCCACTGTGTAGTCTTCTGTTTTAGTTCACCTGTGTTGGGATCTATGTTCGGTGCAGCAACAGTACGAGAAACAACAAGAAGCAAACAACTTCTACTGAATTTCCGCAGAAGTATTTTGTGTGGTACTGGTACTCGTACTCGTACCCTACTGTTAGACGCGTTCGAGACCCATGGATGATGGATGGATAGGTGTCACCACCAAATGGGCAGGTTCGCCTTAACTCTAATGACTAATGATTTCTATCGTTCAGCACTACAGTCTAGAGCTAAGATCATTATTGTACCGTACCGTACTTGGTACCATATGAATGGTACATTATGATCGACCCCAGAATTATGTCAGTACAGTATGATTTACTACGTGGAAGTACGAATTATTAGTACAAAGTACAATATGAATTTGAACGCATGATACCGGTAGAAAGTAGAAACAAGGGAACGAATTACCAATACACATACGTAGTAACATTGAAAGGTATGAACATATTTATTTTTAGGGATCGCTTATTGGGAATATGAATCGTACCGTACGAATGGGGGGGGGGGTTATTCACTTGAATCTGCCGTACGAATACTCACCACTTACTGGCGGTGTAATGAGCTCAGTAGGAGTAGTAGGAGCTGGCGTATCATGCCCCCGTCCCGCAGGACTGTTTGTTCATGACATTTTTGGTGTCATGAAGCCATGATTCAGACGAAAAAGGAAACCGATACCAGTAGTACCCAAAAAATAAAATAAAACGGAACATATTGAACTCTGAAGAACGAATCAGAAAGAAAATGCTTTCAAAGTGATCATTCCGGCATCTGTGACAAGAATAGGGCGGTATCATACGGTGTTGAAGACGAAAAAAAAAACACCGAAGAAGACTGTAACAAAGCGAAGACAGCACATTGCACTGGCGAGAGGAATTTAGTATTGATCGACCTCGCTGTCATAAGCTTCCGGTAAAATCAAAATCAGCAAGATAATAGCGCATATTGCAACAGCACACAGCATATGAAACTGCTGGAACCCGGAAATCCGAATCTGGGGATGAGGAAATGGTCGCTCAGGGGGAAAAGAGAGGAAAACTTGCTCACCTCGGGTGCCTGCAACCACAGTGATGCTCCCAATAGCAAAAACAACTGCTACTACGATTCGAAGGAGTTCAAGCTAGCGTTCCCGGCAGCCCCACCTCCTCTTGTGCCACCGCAATCTACCAAAACCGAAAGCATCAACTCGAAGGGATACCTGCCGTTGAGCTTTGAAAGCGATTCGAACACACTTGCACTGGAATCCGCCCCGGAACCGGATTGGTCGCACCGGCAACAAGTTAGTTCTGGTAGGATCGAAACCGAAGCGAAGCGATGCCAGCGGCAACCTCAAAGCGAGCGCGTGGTACTTCTTTACCTTATTCGTCACGGAGAAGCTGAGCACAACATACTGGAAAAGAAGGCCATGAGGGAGGCATGTTCCAGTGCGATCAGGGACGACGGCTTGCCCGAGGACCACCCTGAGACGAAGCGGAGGATGGAGGAGGCGCGGAGGCGTGTCCTGAACGACGAGCGCTTGAGGGACGCGCGCCTCTCGGAGCTCGGAAGGAAGGAGGCGAGAGACGCCCGAGCCAACATGAAGAACATGATCGACGAAAACGGCACGGTCGATGCAAACGTTGGCAAACAATCACTGCCGCTGTCACTGGAACAACCAAGCTACGTTTTGGTCAGCCCCCTCACCCGGGCTCTCGAAACCGCCGACATTGTCTTCCCCGGCCACCGCAGCATCCACGTCCGGGAGGACCTCGCGGAACGGCGGACCGGGAAGCCTCCTGACACGAGATCCTCTTGCTTTACGCTAGGGATGAGAGACAGTTTCAAACGCTTCAGCCTTGCTCAACTGCAGAACCAGTCGATGGAAAAATTGAAACTCGAGGTAGCACGCGAACAAAAACAAAAAGGAGATGTTGGAAAAGCATCCTCCACGTCCGTCACCAATACCACCATTTGCACTGGTGGGAGCGATGCGAATATGGCCGAAAAGCAAGAGGTATTTATCATGCGGGGGGACTTGTGCGAAAAGATTGAGCGAGACAACTTCACCGAGGAAGACAAGGAAGAACTGAGGAAGCGGACGGAAAGATTGTTTGTTCTGCTGGGCGAAACCGACCAAAGTAGCATCGCCGTGGTCACCCATAAGGGGTACCTCAGGGAACTGGAACGGGGTCCGCTGGGCCAAACCGATGCCACAGAATTCAAGAACTGCGAAATACGAACCTATAAAGTCACCGTGTCCCTTGCCGATCACAGATTGATCGAAGCCGAACGGTTGAGGTAGAATTTTTCCCCCCTCATTACTGGTACAATAGATAGCATCCATTGTTTCGTCAACAACTGACTTACCAACCGACTGATCGGGATAGATGCGCAACTTTATACGATGCATACGCAATGCAATAGAACTCAACGCGACATAATACAGCAAACCAATACGTTATAATAGAGAAAAGCGAAGAGGTAACCGGAAGATCACGAAACAAATTAATGTTCTTTTTCAATTATGAATGAGGGACAGTAAATGAACTCGTTTAATCCAATCAATCCTGTTCATCTCGACGAGTGTCTGCGGTTGATTGCCCTTCTCAAAAACTGCTCCATCTCCTTCCCCTTGTCGGTCCCTCCATACAATCGTTGGCAGATTTCCAGTGGCGTCTCCGCTGTCATGCTCGTTTGTTTGTTGGATTTCGGTTTGAACGGGGAGGGATCACAGCCCTTTTCCAAAAGAACTTTCAGAGCCCGGACCCTTCCGTTGATCACTGCCCAGTGTACAGCCGAGCGAAACCAACGGTCCTGGAATTCGAGGAATTGTCGTAGGGGAACGGGACCGTTATAATATCGATCGCACTGGTGCACCGCAATCACAAACTCGATGATCGAACAATGGCCTCCACGGGCTGCTGCGTGCAGAATGCTTTGCTTATTGGCGTCTTTCATCAGCAACGGGCAGCCGGCGCTTAGCAGCAGCTTTACGCAATCCAAGCGGCGTGCATCCTCTTCCAAGGTACCCTCGGGGCCGTTGTCGTCGATGCCACCAGCCGCCAGGTGGATTGGGAACACACCGTTCGTGTTTGGCGATTTGAAGCTGGCGTTTTTGGCCAGAAGAAGCTTCACGAGGCCAGCATCTCCACGGAAACACGCCAGGTGCAATGGGGCGGTCTTGAATATTGCTCTGCGCTCGTTGCGACCTGACGTATTACCAATTCTACTGCCATGGGCATGGTCACGGTTTGGATTCGCCCCAAGTGACAATAGAGCTTTCGCTATCATCGATTGATTCATAGTTGTTGCCTGCAACAGTGCATCGTACAACAACGCGTCGTCCACAGAGCCATTTTCTGGCAGGTGTGTGGTTGTAACAGACGTAGCTGCCGATGAGTTATCGACCGACGTCCCTTGCCCTCGAAGGAGGCCATTTTCGGTGATGGTCTCGTCCAGCAAATCAACGTAGTCGCCAAGATTTTGCGCACGCAAAAGAGTTACTGTATCGAAGGGTTCTGGCAATTGCCCGTACTCTCCACCGACAAACCGAGAATTTTGGATTTGGTGGCAGCGGGCATAAAGCGTCCTGCAAACTACCACCGCGGATAGGGAATCCCCTCCAAGGACCGCAAAGGAAACCGATTTTGTCAGCATTTGTTGCTGACATGGCTGCAGATTTAGATATTTCACGAGAGTCTCAACCACCATGCTTCCCGCCAGACCATACTTTTCAAGTGGGGTAGACAACTCGTTGCTGATTCTAAGAATGGAACAGGAACTGAGGCCGGGCAAGCCCAACCGATCTCGTTTGCCTGTACGGGAGAGAGGCAATCGAGGAATGCCAACGAATGTCGAAGGTATGCATGCTTTCCTCAATCGATTAGAGCATTTTATTCTAAGCAACGACCAGAGTGGTCCGCCGTTGATGATGACTCCTTGTTGTTTCGTCCGAAAATCATTCAGCGATATTCCAATCTCTTTCCATATTGTCTCAGGGAAAACACAGTAAGCAAGGATGGTATTTTGACCACCTGAATCTTGTATGACTTTGGCAAGACAGTCTGTGACAACGGTACGTTGATCATCGTTACTGTCGTTGCTTTCACCACTCGTTAAGGCGGCTTCAATTTCCCCAAGTTCCACCCGAACTCCATTTATCTTGATCATTCCCTCTTCTCCGACTATTCGGCCTGTAATTGAAAGGCTTCTATCGGTTGGATTGATATATCCTCTATCACCTGTTCGATAATGATATCGAACTTTTTTCGATGTTAAGTCGCCATCATTATCGGTGACAGCAACTTCTTCTGCTACAAATTTGCCTACAAGGTCGGGTCGATTCAGATAGCCAGTAGTTATATCGATTTGGTCACCATACAAAACGATTTCTCCTAGCATTCCTGCTTCTCGAACTTCTTCGAGATGGTTCCCCTGGAAATCTTCCCTGCAAATTTTCACTTCTGTTCCGTCCAATGGATGCCCAACATACTGTCCTCTTTTCGACGACGACAGCGTCGTTGCAAGAGCGGCGTTTGAGTCTGTGAAAATGGTTTCGCTCTCACGGAACACCTCTCCACAAGTCTGGTATACACACGCCTCTGTAACCCCGTATGTTGCTAGTAATCGACATGTTGAGAGGGAATTCTCGCTATCTCCATTTTTTTGCTCTTTCTCGGCCCGAGAGCGAGCCCACGCTACTACGAGGCTGTTCTGTATGGGCTCCCCGCCGAGCGCCACCCGCTGCAAGCAAGGAAAGTCTTCCTTGATGGCGGTGTGTGGGTGATTTGTAGGCCGGTGCAGCAGTGTCAGGCCCCAGAGGGTCGGTGTGCAGAGCACGTGTGTCACTCTTAGATCCAGCAGGGTGGTTGTAAGTCCCGAGACCAGGTTGATACGGGGGGCGATCGCTAAGGTGGCGCCGGCCTCGAGCGTAGCTACCACATCTGACAGGCACGGATCGAAGGACAGCGAGGATGCCAGAAGCACGGTCGAGGCCGGAGTGATGTCGTGGGCATCGTTCTTGGCGTCGATGTACTTCCGCAGCGACCGCGCGGACGAAATGCACCCCTTGGGATGCCCAGTGGTTCCGGAGGTGTAGACAATGTGGGATAGTCTATTGCTAGATTTGCTGTTCCCGCTTGGGTTCTTTTGGTGGGCTGGGGTTTGGCAATCGGACGGAATGTCGATTTGAGTAGCAAGCTCCAAAATATGCTGTTGGAGATTTCCAACAGCGTGTGGTGCAACGCTTTGTGTGCATCCTTGCAAAAATGAGGATAATTCCAATCTGCTCCTTGAGGTCTTGACCAATTCAACAAAGTCGAGGAGCCTCGGCGTTCGTGTGTCAGTCTCTTCGTTGCTTTTTTCGTTGCCTTGGTTTTCAATGAGTTCTTGCAACTTCATCGAGTCCTCTCCTGGAATCGCTAAGACAAACGATGGACTCGTGTCGTTCAGAATAAACGAGTTTCGATTCTTTCCCTCGTCTGGATCCATTGGAACCAACACGGCGTATTGCAAGCAGCGAGACTGCTGCTGTTCCTGCTGCCTGAGTCCAGCATTGAGCGCGTAGACCACCAGAATTGCAAGGGGAAGCATCGGACCTTCTGGTATGGCGACCGCAAAATTGGTATTTTCCTTCAAAGAACCGCGAAATGTATGCTCACTGCTATCATTGATGACATGTTCGCAGTCATCCGTGTTTTCGATTGGAAACCGTTGGCAGAATTCTTCTTGGATCTGCCGGGCAGCTCCCGCCGCCAAGAGCAGCAGTGTTTTGTACGACGTTGAAAATACAGCGGGAGAAATTTCCTTGCTATGCTCAGCAATGGCACAGTTCGATGGCGCTGGCGACATGAAATCGTTCTCGCTAACACTCGTATTGGCTTCTTTTTTCTCGTGGATTCCTGCTTCGTCGCTGTCACTGTTGTTGCGGAATGGATGGAAGAGCTCAAGAATTTGTCGACTCCAGTAGCAATTCTTGATTTCTCGTTCCTTATCGATGCTCCAACACAGGGCTGGGTGGTCTTCCTGTACGGAAGAAAGCGTCTCGACCACCATACTTTATATCTATCCTTCGATAACAAGGATGCGAATTATTCAATCCAACCCGTGAATTCAAAAGCTCAACAAAGCGATGTGAACAGTCACCGAACAATCATGGTGGCAGGCCTCTCAACTTGACTAGAATCTTTTTAGAAATGAAGAGTATACAGTATGAAGATGTAATGGATTTCCTTTCTTGTTCGCTCTTTCTGAGAGAACAGAGAGGTAACTGCGACTGGGACAGCGACAATTTGTGGAAACATCGACAAGACAAACGTCTCACGTCGTTTTCGTGTCACAATTCGATCATTTCACCATCCATCAGTTTGTTGCCATCGGCTGCGAAGGTAGGATACGTTTATACCTTTCGTACTGTATCATACGTACTGTATGTCGAATTTTCCAAAACCTGGCGCTGGTTGTTGATTGTTGATTGGACCATTCGAAACTCTGACGCCTGCAAGACGGTGGTCTTTGGCGGGAAGAACGTGCCAGTCGTGTACAGATTTGACGCGCGTTTGAGAACAATTTGTACGGTCACGGATCGATCGATGACGGTGGTCTAAACAACGAAAAAATAATGCGCGCAATCTGCTGAACCAATGTAGTAGTAGGCTACAGCGAAACATAAGCAGCCTAGGTTCCTCTTCGTAAAAGAGAAGCAGAATTGTTTGAGAAAGGTCAATAAAGTTAGGCCACCGGTATGCGTTCTTCTGGTGATAGACACGACAAGAAAAACCTCCAGCCTACTTGCATCGCCCAATGTTGTTTTTGTTATCTGTTCGAATCAACAGCATTCTAGTGCACTTGAGATCGGAATGGCCCAGAAATTAATAGAATATTCATTATTATTTTGTATTTTTGATAGATTTTAGTCGACCCACTTCTTGAGAATGGCTTCCTTTTGGGCAGCGCATTCCTTATCAATGTCTTCGGTGGACATGGAGGCGTACTTGCTCATGTCAATGGGATCTTCCCAGGAGAAGAACTTCATGCCGTCCTTCTCGAAAGGCTCACGGCCGAAATGGCAGTAAGCAGCGGTCTTGTTGTATTTGGGTTCACGGAGGGCCAAGTCACGAGCCAAGGCACCAGGACGGCAGTCAAACTCGATCTTGACCAATTCGGTAATTTGGGCGGCGGTGAGACCTTCCTTCTCAGTTCCGTAGGTCTCAACGAAGATGGAGAGTGGCTTAGCGACACCAATGGCGTAGGAAAGCTGAACAAGGGCGCGCTTGCAGAGTCCGGCCTTGACGACGGACTTGGCCATCCAGCGGCAGGCGTAGGCGGCAGATCGATCGACCTTGGTGGGATCCTTTCCAGAGAAAGCACCTCCTCCGTGGGCACCCCATCCTCCGTAGGTATCAATGATGATCTTACGTCCAGTAAGACCGGCATCTCCCTGGGGTCCTCCAATGATGAATTTTCCAGAGGGGTTGATGTGGAGGTTGCAAGTCTCACGATCGTAGATAGAAAGGGCGGATTCTCCGCTCTTCAACTTGATGGACTCGAGGGTCGCCTTGATGACCTTATCGTGGATGAGCTCGTTCATCTCGTCCATGGAAGGAGCGATTTGTTCCTCGCCTTCGTACTTTCCACGGTTATCCTTTCCAGATTGTTCCTCCGTACGCTTGGCCTTGAGGGGCTCAGCGTGCTGGGTGGAGATGACAACGGTGTGGATCTTGATGGGGGTGACAGATCCGTCGGTGTGCTGCTTGTATTCGATAGTGACCTGGGTCTTTCCATCGGGTCGCAACCACCAGAGGCTTCCGTCCTTACGGACGTCCGTCAATTTCTTTCCGAGCTGGGTGGCCATCATGTGGGTCAAGGGCATGAGCTGTTCGGTTTCGTCACTGGCGTAACCAAACATGATACCCTGATCTCCGGCACCAACATCGAGGTCGGACTTTCCAACGTGAACTCCTCCGGCGATATCGGGGGATTGCTTGTTGATGCGGACGAGAACTTCGCAAGAGTCACACGACAAACCCTTGGAGTTGACAGAGCCAAGATCGTCTTCGAACGAGTCGAATCCGATCTCACGGACCTGTTCACGGACGATGGCTTCATAATCAATCTTTCCAGAGGTGGTAATTTCACCGAAAACCATGACCATGTTATCCTTGGTGGCGGTCTCACAGGCGACCTTGGAGAAAGGATCGGCCTTCAAGCAGGCATCGAGAACGGCATCAGAAACTTGATCGGCGAGCTTGTCGGGGTGACCCTCGTTGACAGACTCGGAGGAGAAGAGGAAGTTTCGCTCTTCGGCGGCAACTTTGATTCTCTTGGCAGCTTCTTCGGACATGATGAAATTTGGTGGTTTGTGGGAAAGATTGATCCTGATTTGGAACTATGACCATGTGGAGATTTTGCTGCAAACCACCAAAAAAGAGGAAAGGAGATCTGCGGCTCGCGGTATCCCGTGAAAAACCACATACTGGTACGAGTACGTACTCGTACGTAGATAAACGCTCTGGTTGGATGGAATGAATTCTTAGATTCCCAATGCTGCGGAAATCGCAGCCACCTCTAGTACTCGTTTTACGGCAGCACCCGTACAAATCGGTTAATTTTTTGTACGGCGCGCGTACGAGTCCGTACGGTATCGTGAAAGATCCAATAAGAGTAACCCACCCAACGGTCAGAAACTCTGCGGTTCGAAGCACAAACAACAAACACGTCTGTACTCTCGTAGAACGGTCAGCCATGCGCATCCACCACGCGTCTTTGGTCGGAATGCGTCCATGCGATGATGCAAAAAAAAAAACAGCAAGCAAGCAGAATGCTTTGCCGTGCCAACCGATAGTTATTTTTTTGGTCCCCCCGATCTGGTCTTGTACTGCAGCTAAACGTACGTACCGTAAGAATGAACGACCTCCTTTACAGCACGTTCTACAGAAAATTTGTCGAGCATTCAATTCCACTTGTAGGAACGAAGACAGACGAGAAAGTCGGGGTCGGGGTTGGGGGTTGTGAGAACATTTTTGGGACCAAAAGTACAAAAATTCACACCTTTTTCGTGCACTTCACAGAAGGAATAGTTTCACAGCAAAACCCAGAACTCCATTCGCTCAACCTTCGCTTTTTCGTTGCTACCTTTCCTGTTACAAAGTTGTTGGCCACAACGGATCACAACCGAAGAAAAATCGATCAAACAGAATTCGTTTTGATAAATATTCTGCGAGGACGAAAGAACAACTAGTAATTGGTGCGACTGCTACCTCATCTCACCCAATTTCAATATGCGATTGCCGCCAGCAGTGGCGTATTCTAGCAAGCATGGTTTCCTCT